TATATTAAGAAAGAAAAATAGAAAATACAGAAGCAAGGGAATGATATATGGCAGTCCTCTTTTAAAAGTATTTTTTCAACATTTTGTTATTCCTCTTTTTTTACACAAGTCAGGCAAATGAACTTTACAACTTGAGAGGGGAGGGAGAGGAGTGGGGAAGAGAAGGAATAATGGGAGAAAGGCAAAGGAGTATGTAACAATGTTTGACAAGAAATGTATTCATTGCCTTACTCATGTAACTATAACCCTTCTGTACATCATCTTTACAATAAAATTAATTTTTAAAGTATTTTTTCTTTATGAAACTAGAATATCTAACCTTCTCCAAGATGAAAGATGAGAAACTAAACATAGGAAAATTGAAAGAAGATATTTTACATAATTCATGGAATTATCTTTTCTGTTAGATATTGTAAATTAACTTGTGGATATTAAATCCATGAATAAAATTTGAAACATTATTTATAAACCTATCAGAGAACAGATTTGGCATGTACCAAGACACTTTCATATGGTGATTTGCTCATCTGCCTACAAGGGCTAGTTCTCGAGCTTTAACTGACATGGTACACCAGAGTCTCATATTAAAGATAAAGCTACCAATATACATGTGGTAGAAAGACCTTCATGTAGTCTTGATTTCCACCTCCTGGTATTCATGACTTTCTACATTCCCTTCCAGTTGAGGGTTAGAAGAATTTATTACTTGATCATAAAAGTCAAATAATTTTTGTCATAATCCATGAAATGTCGCTCTCATGATTAGAATACATTATATGCAACAATTAGGGAATGTCAGAGCTGTGAATGTGTTACATTATCTAAAACTCCATTTATACAAATCTCTGAGTTAGCAGACTAGGTCAGCAGACTCACTTTGTAGACTTGCTAAACTAATTGAACATATAGAAGAAGAAGCCTTGTGAAAATGAACCATAGAGCAGATCTGTGATCTGAGTGAAGCCTCTATCTAATAGATAATAAAAAGCTAGGGTCCCCAAAAATTGAATTTTAAGGGAACATTTTGGTCAACATTTTGATTGAACCGTTGTGATAAATTGAACAGGAACTCCTGAGACACAGATATTGCATGAGAGGTAGTGTGCATGCGTTGAGACATCAAAAGTTATTGCTAACTTGTTATGTGGCAACCGAAAATGAATAGAATGGAATGTATGTGTTCTTAGAAAAATCAATGGTTTGTGACATAACATATGGGATAATTGTTTATGCGAGAAAAATAATAGAAAAAAGGATTAAAATTGTGCAACTTCACTAACAGTACACGAACAGGAACAATAAATTGGAAGAAATTTAAAAATACATAGCAAATTACTAACATAAAATAGTATCCTAGTAAATCTTCAATGAACAAGGCTAGGGTAGTTTAATGGAAGATGATGTACAAAAGGGTCATATAAGGCTGACTAATGAGAGCAAAGATGAAACACACACAGATCTAGGGCAGCAGAATAATTAGTAACTCCAAACTAGAACAAGTAACTAGGAAGAGCAAGCATAATGGACAACATATGCAGTATGGTAGTTAGTTTAAAGGGAAAAGAAAAATCTTTATTAGCACTGTACTTCATTAGCCAACTTTGTGATCATCCTCTTAAATTCAGTAGGGTATTTTTCAAACAGACATTTACTAGTTGTTTAGAGTATGAAGTCATTACCAAAGCATTCCTGTCTATCGTGGAGTACAGTGTAAATATCGTATAATTACAAACAAAATGTTTGGCAGCTAATAATTTACCATGCACATGAAACACATGTATAAACGGTGGCATTCAAGCTTTCAGAGAAGAAAAAACTATGCTTAGCAGAACAGTGGTTAAAGACAGCAAAAAGGCAAGATTTTTTTACAAGAAAATTGCAAGAGGGAAAACAGAGCCTCACTAAATTTTCTTTATACGTTTATATGTGTATGATATATCTGTGTATATGTGTGCATATATGCACATATGTTGTTGCTATGTTTATAGAAAGCATACAAAGAAATATCATGATGAGTTAGCCACCATTTTATAAAAGTAAGGTTTTATAGGATAAGTCTTCACAGGAATGCAAAAGATAATAAGAGAATATGATGAACAACAATTTTCTAACAAATTTGATGTCAGGTCAAATGAGAAAAAAATCCAAACAATAATTTCCCAAAATAGAATGACCCAAGAACATTGACAACTAATTTTCCTTTTTGTCCTCTCTCTAAAGCTGTGTAAATGGACCCATGATTTAGAGTAGAAGGAATATTAACTGGGCCTTTTCCAAGTTGAAAGGACACTGATGTAAGCACAAAAACTCTCTTCTGTGTTTCAGACAGTTTGAAATATCTCACTGTGCAATTGTAGTAATAACTGTCAGGAGAAAAGCATGAGACTAACTACCTTCATCTATGCAGGCATCACAACTACATTTTCTGTTCCAGTTCATTGAGTTTTGATATCCTCTGATCTGGATGTCTTGCATTTTCATAGGAAGGCATTTTGAAGATTTTCATTCATTAGTCAACTCCATCCTTGTCTATCTATATCCACAGGCTCATCTGTGACTCTTTCCCAATCTCAATAGGAGCATATATCAAAAGTCTCTTCATTTACCCATGAATGCAGATGTCATATATAAGGTGTTCCCAAAGGTATATCATCTATTTTCTACCAGTAAGTCTAAGTTTTACAGTCCTTTTATAAGCTAAATGTATTTCTTTCCATTCCTGCTGATTTTCACTTACATTGTCTTGCCCTACGGAGGGACTGGTAACCTCCAAAGATGAGCTAGTTAAGGGAGCATTTTGAATGGATATCTTGTGGGTGTATTTTGAAAGAATCCAAATCCTACATGAATTCACCTTGAACCACAAAAATGCACAGTACATTACTCCCAAAATTCTCTCAGGTCATTTCCATTTTCTATTTTTTTAAGTTCTTCTCTGTGTTTTCATCTATTTTCACATAGATAGATAGATAGATAGATAGATAGATAGATAGATAGATAATCCCCTTTATGTTTAAGATAGATAATCTCCTTTATGTTTAAGGCTTTCATGCCACTGCATGAATTAATGTGAACTTCAGAGTTTACATTTAAAATTTTACTTTGCTAAATATTGATAGATGTATAATAGGTTGACTATGCTTTTGGAAATTGATTTAGTTTTTATGTAAGTATACTTCCTAAAATGAAAAAAATCATGGGTTTTATATATAAACATTGCCACTAGAAAAACATGAAGATATATATAAAATTGTGCCCCATAAAATACTCTTAGGATATGCAAAGTCATTGTTTAGTGGTGAGTATCCACAGATAAATTCAATTGTACTAACTGCTTAGCCTACGTGAAATAAACGCCCTGTGCCATTCTTTTTTAAATTATGTTTTTTGTTGCAAAGGTTCTGTACAGAGGGGTTACAGTTACATACATAAAGGTAATGAGTAAATTTCTTCTCGAACTTGTTACCCAGAACTTGTTACCCAGTCCTTTGTTTTTCTCCCACAATCCCTCTCCCCCTTTTTCTCCCACCCCTCCCAAAGTTGTAAAGTTCCTTTCCAACATAGTGTCCTGTGAGTATAGTTGTTGCATTGGGTCACCCTTTGACCTTGTTTCACCATTTCTTATGCCCCTTTTCTTCCCCAAATCAGACAAATGCATATATAAGACACAGGGTACCAGAATGTAAAACACTGACTACTGGGGATAAACTAAAGGGAAAAAGAAAAAAAAGTAAATAAAGTGAAAAGAAAAAACTAGATACAGTACATTGAGGACAACAATGTCAACAACAAAAATACCTCCAAATCTTGAAGTTCATTTTGAGTAGCATCATTTTATATGGTCATATATACATAGCTATTGAGTGATTGTGATCCTCTGCTAGGACTATCCCAGATTCTCTGCCATTATTTAAGGAAGAAAGTGAAATTGTTCACAGTCAAAAGTAATAAATGAA